GTACAGTAGCTTGCCCTGCCAGTGTTGGGGGGGGGGTGTTTCTCCTTGGTAGTTCCTTGATTACAGTATTGTTTTCTGCTTGATTGTTTGTCTGGTGTTAATCCCTGCTTATCTGGTGTAGGCTGCTGGAGAGGATGTGTTCTGGTCTTTTTGTTGATGGAAAAATGGTGGAAAATTTGGACTGCCTTCCTGTTTTCTTCTTTGTACAATAATTTATAGACTGTCCAATTCCACAAAGGCCTCAAAGAAGTTTACAATCAAAGAATAACAACAATGCCACAAAGCCAGTAAAAAGGACATCTAATCTAGTAATGACATCTAATTAACCAAAGGCAGCCCTTATACCATCAGCATCCCTGGGCAGAACAAGAACATGTTCAAGTCCTTCTGGAAGTTGAGGAGGTTTGGGGGGGGGGTTTCCTTATCCCAGGAGGGAAGGTGTTCCAAGGAGTGGGGGCAGCCTCTAAGAAGGTGTGTCATCCATCCTTCCCCCTCCCATACCACAAGGTGACGCCTCTCCACATCCCTTCCTTCAAAGACTGCAAAGTGTGGGCTGAATCAAGGTAGAAAGGTAGAAAGAAATCCCTTTATCTCATGCACATCTTTCCAAAACTGTGCCATCCCATCTTGGACATAAACTAAGGCTGCTTTCTTATCCCTTTTGAAGGAGAAAATACACTAAGCAAAGTTACCCTACAGTACCACTACGCTCTCCAAAGAGCTTTTATTCACAGCCAGTGACCTGGCTCTTGATACCTGCTGGCCCTTTCTTCTTGTTCTTCTTTCCCTTCTTCCTTTGGTTCAGTTGCCTGAATGCCTCTGCTGCTTTTTGAAGCTTGGCAACAAAGAGCTCAATATCATCGAGGGTGCAATTCAGTATTTGCTGCAAACACACAAATGAGAAATCTTAAAAGCAACAGCCAGAGGCAATCCATGCTCACTCTAAGTTACTCTGTGTCTTCCCACTAAGAGTCAAAATATCAACCATGAGCATTCAACGTGATCAACAGAACATTTTGTTTTAAATAGTATCCATGGGAAAATCTGAGCCACCTCCAGACCAGGGGCAAAGGAATGCCTGGAGAAGTTCAGCTCTTTCCCTGCTATGGTTTTATAAAGTTCCTATTTGCATTTCAAAAAAATTTCCTTTGGCAACCCAGGGACATTCAACAATTGTTATCAAAATGGATTTTACCGTCCAGGGGTTACTTCATCTTCTCCCATGTAACTTATTTTTTAAAAAATTACTATTACTAACCGTTTCTTTTTCAATCTTCTGTGCTAAAGCTGCACGAGACTCCTGATCCTGAGAGCTACTACTTCGTCGATCATATTCTGCCAAAAGCACAAAAATCAACCATTGTCAATGGAAAGAAGACAAAACAGGAGTGGAATCAAATTATTTGCTTAAAAATACTCCCTGTGTCAAGCTACCCTGTGAAGCTTTCTTTGATGTGAATCTTATAAATATGGATATATGGATTATGTCAAAGGAAACAGAAACAATGGTTTGGGAACTAAAAGTGTTCATGAAAAAACTCAGAAGATGGAAGCATCCCATATTAATTTATTTTACTGCTCTGGATGTAACAATCATGCATCTAAGAAGATTTGGCAGAGCTTCATCAATTCGCCTGATACCAGATTCTGTTTTGCTGTATGGGCCTCACTGCCAAGGATCTGTCAGATAAGAACTGCAATGAAATTGTTCTTGAGCACAGTCCCCTTAAGCCTCTAAAATGTGCCCTTGTTTAGCCATTACTGCTACAAAACTGATTTGTTTTGAATACAGCCTTTTTGGAAAAAGAAGAATCAGAGTACCAGATTCTGAAGGAACATACAGTGTGGTACTGGCTGTACCTAGCACAGTCCAGAATCCAGGTGTTCTCATCTAACAAATTCATCTGACATGCAGCAAGATCCATGATATAATTATAAAATGTCTCTCACAATATGGTTCAAATCCTCTTGCAACATACAAATATACATTTAGGTAGGGAGTTGGCTAATACTCAAGTTCATATTTTTGGGACACATCTTTCTGTAAACATGGATGATTAACTGTAATGCAAATGCATGAGTTGCTTTAAAAAGCATACACAAAGGCCATCTCCCCTGATAACTGAACATTATTTCCCTTTTGCAAAACTAAATTTTAAAATAGGATTATAGTTCTCAGGATCAAAGTGTAGCTCTGTTAATAAGCACAATCAATACTGTTTTCTATCCAATAAAAGTTTAAAGCTCCTCAAACCCCTTCAGTTAAATAAGTTTTTCAGTGTTAAATTGACATGCTGGCTGTGGGTGATGGGCTATGGTTCAACACACCTTGAGGGCATCAAGGCAGGAAAGGCTGCGATATACAATAAAAGTTCCCTTCAGAGAAAAGCTCAAGCTTTCTAATGTTTACCTTTCTGAAGAAAGTCAACAGGTGAAGCCTTCCTCTGCATTCTATCACCAGATTGGCTAAAAGTTTATCTCTTAGTGTGCTATCCATCATGCAGTTATAAAGTTGCATGAAGTTCCTGTTCATTAAAAAAAACGCACCAGCTCTGTTCTGGCCCTTCTGGTTTCTTCAGCAGGAAATCTGCATGTCCACCCATTTTGCATAAACTGGTGTAAAGTAGCAAACAGGTTAACATCCCTTATTTCTCCTTGCAGTGCATGTCCTGTTGATGGAGCTACAGCACCCTTTTTCCTTCAGCTTTGGAGTTGCTGCTCCTTAAAAGGATCTCTGCTGTCCTTTTAACAACCCAACATATGCAAGGAGGGGTTCTTTTGATGTCATCAGTCCCATCATCCACTCTCTCCTACTTGTTGGAGCAAACAGGTTCTTTGTGCTGTTCCACAGAAGGAGGCAATGGACTAGAGTATCAAAAGAAACTAGGGCTTTGTGATTGCTGGAGAAGCTAATGAACAGAGAGGGTGAGCCCCCAGATGAACACCTGGCAATGTTGGAAAACTAGTATCTGTTAATCAGTAGCTAGTACCAGCTGGAAATGTGCATAAGGTTGTGAGATGGAAAATAGGCTATGCATCAAGAGTGGGCAGCTCTAGATTCAGCAAGAGATTTCTGGTTGATTTGTAACAGACTGACAAGAATCGCTGACTCCTAATTGTTTAACAGTAACAGCACCAAAGACTCTTACCTCACCCCTGTTCTGACCAGCAAGAATCAAATCAATTATGGTGGCCTATCTATCTATGTACATAGACAGTTTTTGCATGAGATTCCAGTAAAGCCCAAGGGTTCTGGTAAAAACAAAAATGCTACAAAGTTGAAGCCTGCCTTCCTCATCTATTGATGCATAAACTATCTGCCATCATCATCATCTGCCTTCTTTAATCTGATATTCTGTGGGACTACTGCTCCCAGAACTGAAGAGCACAAGGTTGGAGGAGGCGGCTCCAGTACAGTGAAGACATCTAGGCATGATTCAGGCTATTCAAAGGCCATGGGGAGGGGATTCAAGCATTCTGTGTCTTAATTATCACATGGAAATATTCATGACTGCCTTGTTTCCTTCGGTCTTATAATATGCACATGAGTGACAAGAACGATGTGGCCTTGGTTTTCCATTGACTATGAAGTGCTCAGAGCACAGACCTTGCTGGGATGGAGGGGCCACGCGATTCTGGTTGTTCTTTGGGAAACCTCTGGCTTCATCCTGGAAAGGGATGGGTGCAGGCCCTTGAGGTGGTGGAAGGATGGATTGCCTCTGCTTGATCTTCTCTTGATTCACCCTGCAGAAGAAAACAAAAAAATTATTTTGATTACTACAAGATGCTATTCACTCAAATAACAGAAACAGAGCAAATGAATTCTAACCTGTGCTGATTAATTTGGAGTCGATTGGATTAATTTTTTTAGCACATGAGAAATGTTTAATTATCGGGAAAAAGGAGTGCAAAACATTTCATACAGACCTCAATTATGGGTGATCTAACAATGGAAAGCCTTTCATTTACATCAGTTATGCAGATTAAGCTGATCTGGATATGTTGATCATTGTACAAATCCTGCCAAGTTCAGCTGGATTTAATGCTAAATAAACAAGTGTGCACAGAGTCACCATCTTATTTTGCTTCTGTCGGTAAGCAAGAAGTCAGTAGAAGTATCAGACCTGGCCTACAATTGGATGTTGAAATTTTTCTGCAGACACCTCTCTGGTTTCTAAAGTTTCACAGGCACACCAACATACTTTCATGATTAACTCTGATTTGTGTGAATTTTTTAAGCATGCTCAGTCCTTTCAAATCCTGTGCTTTTTTCTGCTTGCAAAGAGTCATGAAATGCACACAATAGCAATGGCTAATAGAGACTAATTTTTTTTGCAGTCATGAATGAATGTTTCTTTAATGACCAAGCCTTCCAGGTACTGGAAAAGAGCAAACAAGTGACCAAAATAAGACATCTGTTTCTCTTTAGAAGTCCAAGTGATGAGAACTTTCAGGTAACTTTCTGCAGCAACTGGGACACAAGGGTTTTGCACAAATTCAGAATCAGTTCCAGATCTGATCTCATAGCATCAACTGATTTGGGGAGCTGAGTCAATTTATTTCTTGCTCGGTGATTTATCTGAAACCACAGCATAGGCAAATTTGTTCTGAACTTGTGACTCTGCAGAGTTTGTGGCTGGTTTACATTTTCACTAATGGGAACAACTGCATCATCTTGTCTTCTGGAACCAAGGCAACCATTGTTCTCTCTCCCCACCTTAGCTACCATACAGTTTATCTTCCCAATAATTGCTTTGTTCCTAATCATTTTCTACAAGCACTGCACTGCAGTAAACATGCAATCAAGATTACAAGGAGGAGGAGAAATGCCTGTTTACAAAATTACTTACATACTAGCATTTCACCATCATAAAAAACAAGAGGCTTTTAAATGTGCAACAAATGTCAGCTGTGGAGCCAGTAAGTTTCTCCTCAAAACAGCTGCCTGGATGTCTGTGCAAATGGCTGAATAAATGGACACACCATGCACTGAAAATGTGGTAGTGATTTCTTTTATTTCCCTTTTATGTGGAGTTGGGAAGAGGGGATTTCGGTGACTCCAGTCAAAATAGCTGTTCCAGACAAGGCTTTGACTGGATAGCATCCTTTGGCCAGTTGGAAGGGAAGTAGATGAACACTGATGAACTCATAGTGCTGTTATACAATCCCCACATTTCAAGGTTCAAATTGTTTCTATGGGATTGAAGAGGAGTAGTATGGAACTATCTCTTGTCCTATCAACTTTATAATAATTGTTTCATTTGCCACTGCATAAGCACAACGCCATCTCTGCCCTATTAAGTTCCAGTAAGATATATTTAGGCATTTGTACAAAGCCACTGCTTTCACTTGCCAATCCTCAAAACTGATTCACAATGACCTGCAATTATTCTCCAGCTGATGAAAAAAAAAATCCTGAACAATGAAATTTAGTCGAATGATTTCTGAACAATTTTCCTGAAATGTGATAGCACTGGAGGTGAATTTTCACATCTTTTAGGCTGTTTCCTCTGTCACTGAAACCTGTCTGAAAGACTCATGTCCAACTCTCATTCATTAGATTTGAGTTTCAGGAACTCTTCCTGAGAGAAGGAACAATTTTGCTGCCAGAGGTAGCCTTTTTCTCCATCCTCACAGAAAATGGGTGAAATCCCTCAAAGTTTTTCTACTCCAAGTGAACTCTCACCACTTACCTAAAACTGCAATAACTTAAACTTGGGGAAGAAATCTCCAAACCCAGTAGTCCAAGTAATGCTTTTTCCTGGGCTACCTGCTAGAATTTGTCCATGTACAGAAGCCACTTACTTGAGGGTCTGCGGCCGTATTTTCTTTCCAAATTTATGGTCCGCAAGTGCACTTTCTATGTCCTCATGAACCATCTCTGCCTAAAACACAGAATTAGGAATAGATTGGGGAAGAAAAGATACAATGGAAAAATGCACACAGTTCAGGATTAATGGACAGACAGCTAGAAAAAAGCCACGGAACTCTCTTTTTACACATGCCAACTGCAGTGAGATTATTATACACTCAAAAGTGGAAAAGTCTGACATTACCCACAATGGAGGAATGGTTAGTGAAGATGGTGGAAATACCAGAGATGACTAAATTTACTTTCTTGATTAGAGAAAAACCAATATCTACATATATGGCTGAATGGAAACCCCTTATAGACTTTTTGCCTGAAACAGGAAAAAAAATGCACTTATAACTTCTGGTTTTGATGATTAGGAAAAAAAAAATGGATAACAGAAAAAAGTGAGCTTTTCTATAATCATAGAATAAGATAACTTTGTAATTTATTTATATTTGCTGTGAAGAAAATCAGAAGCTTCTTCTATAGGGTATTTTTATCTTTTCTTTCTGCACTTTTGTCTTTGTTCTTTTCTTCCTCTTTTTTCTTTTTTCTTTTCTTTATTCTTATTAGTTTGTGTTAGTTTTTATGTTGTCTTTAAAACTTTTGATAAAATTTATATGTATAGAAAAGAAAAATGCACACAGTCAATCTGCCTGATAGACAAGGCATTAATGGACTGCTTTAAATCTAGATTTTGTTGATGGTGTGTGCTTTCAGTTTTAAAAAATAGTGCAAAAGGGAAATATATGGGCATAGAGCATTAAGAAATTATTTTATGGATCTAGGAGGGTTGCTGGCAGTGAAATTTCACAGAGAGCTTATTCAGATTTTGAAGCAAAGGTTCCCTTCAGTCCTCAAGTAAAGCTACATTCTGGAAACCTTCAAAGTTTCAGAGTGCAGCCAACAAATATACTGCTATATGAATCATGAAGGGTGTTTTGCTGCTCTGTAAACACACATCCTCTTTTAAGGGGAGCTCTACAAAACCCACCTATTTCTGAAAAGAGTCCCTCACTTGCATTTATTTTGGCAGAGGAGAACTTCAGTGCGGAAGTTCTGCTTACACAGAACTCTTGGTAGGACTCCATCCTCCCTTCTCCAAGCCATGAGATAGTTTTGAAACTTCAGTTTAGATATGCAGGTTTTTTTCCAAAAGGAGGGAAGCTGAAGGGGACCCAGACACCCTCATGTATTATTTAAAAATGACTGTTTCCCCCCAGCTAACTCGTAAGGGAAAGACAAAGACTTGCAAGGCAGCCTACTGCATGGGTTAATTGTTCATGGAGCTTCTACTGCAGATAGAATTCTGCCAACAGAAATTACAATCCTGGCATGAGCTAGGCTCATAGCCATAGACAGAGAGTTTGTTGTGACTGCTCCTAGACTAACCAACCAACCAACCAAGGGCATTTCCATGTGAGATCTTCAGACCAGTTCAGAATCAGCTCCAGACTTGTCAATCTCATGATACCAACTGTGTCCAGGAACTGAGGCAATCTATTACTAGCTCAGTTGCAATGTATGAAGTAAATGTACAATACTTCTTGCTTGAAGCCTGCATGTTCTGTAGAACTTGTGTCCTTTTCCCTTTGGCAGGAGATTTTGCCTCATCCACCTCCTGGATCCTCTCTCTCCCCTCCCCCCAAATTCAGCTGCAGTAGCGTCATTCTCAGGATTTCAAGGTCAATGGTAGTGAAGTTGTGAGCTGCCCAGAGTTGCTTAAGATGGGCGGCCATATAAATCTTAAATAAATAAGATGATCACAAGTTGGCTTCAAGCTGCTTTTGCGGGATTAGTGAGTGGAACAAGTGATGATGATGGTAGGGAAGGTGCTTTCAAGATCCCATCTAGCTCCCTCTTCAACAAGGACTGAAGAACTGCCATTTACCTCTACTTCATCACAGTTAAAGAAGTGAATGTCAGGCTTGTGCTGTTCGGAATCTTGACACACCAACAGGAGGATGGAGGAATATCGCATCTGATTCAGCACAGTCTGGCAGTGCTGGACTGTTGGCAGGAGGAAGTCTTCGAGCTCTTCCTGAAAAGCAACACCAAAGAAAGTGTGGTCCATATATATATATATATATTATAAATATAAATATAAATATA